TAGAGTGGTTTTCGTTTGAGTGTCGTAAAACCAAAACCAAAGTAATTACTCTGGCCAATCACATAGGACACAGACAATACATTGAACCAATCAAAACTCGAAGTAATTACATGTGGCTGACGCAAAGCGCGGGAAAATGCATGCGAGTGCGTCACAATTGGCTTTGGTTTTACTTCTGATTGGATGAAAAGGTGGCGCGAATCTTTTAAGCCAATCGCATCGTGTAGAAAGTGCAAAACCAATTACTTTTCGACACTCAAATGAAAACCGCTCTAGCACAAACCTAAGGACAAATCAGATTCCCAGCGGAGATCCGAGCCCATAACAAGTCACTCTAGCTTGCAGAGTGGCTTGCATATATATACAACAAAAACATTTTTTGTAAATTGGCAAAAAAAAAAAAGACAATAATGTTGCCGTTGTGTCTCTCTGGCGTTTACATGTTGTTTATAGTTTATTATTGTTATTATTATTCTCATTATAAATATTAATATTTTCTTATGACATGCTCTACCAAATGCGCGCACCACGATTGGTGAACCCCAGTCGATTCGTTCAAAAGTTTCTCTTATAGAACATAACAGGAAGGATCGTGTTATCTTTTTGGCTCTTAACATCGAAAAAAAATAAATACAAATGAGCCTGCAGTCAGATACCAATTTGTTTCAAAGGGGTGTTTCTTGATGTTGTGGAAACCATTGTTGATTTACTATTGTACTGTATTATTGACCCTCTTGTCAAACGTGACAATTGGTGAGTTAAGTCGTTTTGGTTTTGAAAAGCTTCCAGCCACTAGGATCCCACTAGGAGAGTTTCTGGAAACTGCCAACCTACCCCCTCCATAAGCTAACATTAACACTTACTTCTCATTTGGGGAAAAATGTTGGATTAGGGGAGGGGTAGGTGGGCAGTTTCTCAGAGACCTAAATAGATCCGTTTTTTCTCCGGTTTGGCCTACCGTCCACATTTATCCGGTCAACACGGCCACCGAAAACGTATCTTTTCAAAAAAGCTCTCCAGAGTGGAGATTTTTGAAAACGCCCTTTTGCAGTTCTCGTGCTTTTTGGATGGGTGAAGAAGGATGTTTTTGAAAACGATTACGCGTCACGGTGTTGAATGCGGTATATCCCGCGCACGAGATTAGGCTCAGATACAAGTAAATGCGCCTGCTCCCATCAAAGACGGCACCGTTTTCAGTACTATTAATTGCGTTTTCGTGTGACAGGTAAGAACGATTAAAAAGCAACGTGAAGACGTGGATATGTTTGAAAACAGGGATAAAATTTCCGGTCGTTTTCAAACAACAAAGGATAGGCGTGGACGGAGCCGCTAGCTCAGGTCAAGAGCAGGATTACACCGCTGGGTGTATTGGACATGCGTAATTTTATCATGAAGTACTATGTGACACTTTATTTGACAAGGAAAGACACGGTCTACAGAGCGCAATTAATGAAAAAAGAAATGATGTGCTATCTTACAGACAACGGCTCGTCCTCAATGAGCTCGCAGATGTTAAAAGTAAGTCACGTGCTAACGTATGATGCCCTTGGAAAGGCTCCTGTGATTGATCACACATCTCTCCCGCATTGCATTTCTTGTACAGAAATCTGTTTGCTAACGAGCGTCCGTTAAAGGTAAATCGGTAAATTTTGAATTAGCTTGGGTTATTTTGTTTCCCGCAATCTAATTATGCATCTCCGATTCTAAAAAAGTAATTGCTAAATATATCTTGGTAATAAATTATTACAGCGTTAATCAAGTCAAACCATACTATAAAAGACACCGATAAAAATAAAAATATGTTATCTTTATGGGCAGCTAAAAAATGGGAAACACAGGGTCGTACTTTTCCTTGAACTAATTTACACATTTTTGAAACTTTAGCAAAATTGCAGCTATTTCGAGATAACAACTGAGTGATACACAAATAAAAAGGGGTTAGTGCCAAGTTGAACTTGAAGCTGCTAAATTGATGACGTAAGTCTTGTGTTCACTCACATGTTGGGGACAAACTATGAAATTTGTTACGTTAATAAAATGTATTATTTTTTTTGTTAGCCGACATCAATTATTCAAGGCACCACATTCTTCTAGATATACAAGCTGGCAGAGTGGGCGGCGATCAGCTATTGTTGTAATTTTTGGAAACTGAGTGACAGTAGGCAAAACACACGAACGTTTTCGACAAGTCCATTATTGGAGACGCGCTGGAACAAACAATTGCAAGGTAATAACGCATGTAAAATCTACCGGTTTTACGACAAAAATATCTATCTTAAATTACCTTTATGGCTTTGCTTCAAGCACCGGACGAATTTGACATTCTTTCAGGCGACGAATTTGTGATTTTAACGGGAAATGATGATGTTTCTTCGCCACCATTTAAAAAACATAAACGAGTACACTGGTCCCAGGATCTTGTGGAGATAATTTACTTTGTACCTACGCAAAGCAACCCAGTATTACCTCCGTTTTCAGAATACTACGGCAGCCCAAAGTTCAGGAGAAAGAAAAAACAGGAAACCGCGAATTCATTGACGCGAAGCGCGGGGCAAATTAGCACGGTCATGGTTATGCGAGGGCTTCAGTTCATAACGAGACAACTGAACGATTTGTCCGTGGGAAGCAGCTTATCCGATGATCGCTCTCGGAAATGGGATGATCTGCTACAGCTTTACATGATAAGAGAAAGACTTAAGGACGAGAAAGACGACTGGGTGTAGCCCGAGCAATGATCACCAGAAATCGAACTGAGAAATAATAAAGTAACGCAGACCAGGGTGGAGCACAGACGGACAAAGTAAAGAAAATATCAAAGTCCCAATGAAGAAATGGAGCGAAAACGCTTCTCCTTTTAGAAAAGATGGCGAGAAAGCGATTATCAACTGGTTACTATGAACGCATTCGTGAAAGGAGAGAGTAAAAGCTAAGAAAATAGACCACGAATAGCGACGATTTCAAGATAGTTTTAGAGCTAAACAAACAGACTAGTATGAGGAAGATGTTATTACGATTTCGTCTAGCTTCGTCTTCGGAGAACAACCTGCTATTAAATGTGCGAACGCCAGGTTTACACAAATTAGCTTGGCTCATGCATTATTGTGAATAATGTACATATGACGAAGAAGCGAGTTGAGACATACTGGGGAAATGGCAGCTCGCGTAAAGGACCTCAAGTAATTATTTTGCGGTATCATTTTTTGGTGACCAGCCAGTTTAAGTCGTTTTCTGTGAACGATTTTGAGCAGGGAAGTCCCTCTGACTGACGAGCAACAGAACAACGTTGTGATAAGTAAACGCTACACACGAAAAATGAGACAAGAAACGAGAAAAAGGAATTCAGTTCAAGGGACAGACGATGGAAATTTATGTCGTTGGTAACCACAAGCGATTACATTGATTGAATTTGCAAACAACAAAATGAAAAATGCATTGTTTTAAGTATTATAACAGAATTCCATTGGCAAAGTAACAAACGTTGTCGAAATACAAGCTAAAATATGAAAAATAAATAAATAAAATGGAAAAAAAAATTGTACAAATCGTTTGAGAAAAGTATCTCTATTGCAGGGAAATTTGCATTTTTTTCTCGACTAGCGTAGTAGAAAACAAATGATACCTTTGATAGTCTCACGTGGAAGTTGGGCATTGTGTAACATTACTGATAAGTTCAGGGACAGAAATCATTAATTTTTTAACAAAAGCTAAGGAATAATTAGAATTTGCATTTTGAGCCAATCAGTTGTAGCTCGTTGTTGATTTTGGACATAACATCGTGTTTGTTATGACGACGGATACCTTACCCATGGTCAAATCATGCGCATGCGTATCCCTTCCTCCTCAAAAGAGAGATTACAAATTGATTTCTTTTACAAATTGCCACTGATGACAATCTTAACAGTTCCGCCAGCATCCCTCTTCTTTACCCTCACTGTTTGTTGTGTTTGAAAATCATTACACTATTATATAAGAATATAGACTGCGAGCAGTCTCTTATTAGAACTAGACGGATTTTAAGAGAAAAGGCGGACTGAAAGTAGTCTAATAACAATATACTTTATAAGAATATCGAGGCTGAAATTTATGAAATTTTAAGAATAAACCCCAGGCTGTTTTTTTAAAAGGATATAATTTGTGTTGAAAATCTGAAATCTACAACGATGAGAACGCTAGGCGCGTTGTGATTGGTCCTTGCCCATGATCTATCAGAGTACAAATACATGGATGACGTCACGCGAAACTTGTTTTCTTTGTTCTGTTCAACATGGCGCGCGGTTTTGAAAATGTTTGTGGGTTTACTTCGGATTAAAGCAAGTGAAATCCCCAAAAAAAGTTCAACAGGAGCTAATTACAATAGAAAGAAAAATGGAGAAAAGGAGACAAAAGGAACTCTTGACTACTTTAGAATGCCTAACTAACTACAAGAAATCTTCACAACAGCTGCCATCGCGTTTCATCGCTATGAGAGACTCGCCGTTTTGCAAAACGTTTTCGCCATTATTCTGCTTTGAGGGACTGGTCAAAAAGTATAGATGGGGGTGGGCCATGAGGTTTTGAGCCTTGTGCAAGGGGTGGGTCGTGCAATTTTCAGCTACCCTTAGGGGGTGGGTCACCCTATTTTTAACTAACTACTAACAAGCCAGTAGACTGCACTTGTTATATGAAACACAGCCAGCTGCAATTATTGTACACAAACTTGTTGTGCGAGAAAATACAAAGGTTGACAGGCCGCAAATCTATACGGGCGTGGAACCCTCTGTTAACCTTTTTTTTTCGGCTCTAACGAGCATGTCCTTTAACGATTTTCCTTTTTTGTAAGGAAATGATTAATGGTTCTTTAAAAATTTGTTGACGTTATAGTTGGTTTTGTATAAGATTCCATTTTTTCATTCAAGCTTCCTTTATAGTAGACACTGAGGGCTGGTATTGTGTCACGAATGGCAATATTTCTTTTTCCTCCTTGTTGTGTTGTTTTAGGAGTTTAGTTTGCAGTTCCATGGTTTTTTAGCTAGTACTTTCCACTGAAGTGGAAGAAATTTTCTTTGAGGATTAATCTAAGCATTTCCGGCAAGTAATGCATGTGTAGGAATGGGTTGTCTTTGTTGAAATTTTCATATGCTTTGTGACAGATAATTTCAACATACCCTCGTTTTGCTGCATATTTATACTTTTTGACCAGTCCCTGAGCAAGGGAAGACGTTTTTTTTTCTTTTCTACATCATTGTATAAAACAAATAGAATCCATGTTGCCGTGGGTCTGTTCAGAAATAGATCACAGAAGACGCCAAAATGTGGTAAAAATATCAGTGATGACTGTAGAACTGCCGAAGCACGTTTTGCTGCAAAGAACTCTTAACTGTTGCCTTTAATTTTGTTAAATAGGCTTATACGGCAGTTTGACATCACTACTGTTTTATGCGTTCGTACTTAGAAAAACACTCCTTGGCGGCTAGGTTTTGGATATTATCCGTATATAGTTATTTTTTGTTATTATTTTACTTTTTATGGCAGTTTAGTTGATGCTCATTGTTCACGGATATTCCGAAGTCTGCCATGTAGTCAGATCACAAAAGCAATAACTTTAACACTGGAATCAATACATGAAAATGGCATACACACGATCAACCACACGATCGCTATAGAGTGTTTTCACAAGACGTCACGGCGGCCATATTGGTGTCCAAAAACAATAAAACAGCGGCCATGTTGGTGTCCCAAACCAATCCTCTCTTAGTTATGCAAACGCTTTCTTTTGTTCCAATAAATCTGCATAGATGCTGGCCACGTGAGTGAAAACACTCTATAGCTTTGGGAAATAGAGAGGAGAAGTCGTTACGTCACGTTGTCATAGTCGCAAGTCTGGATCTCAACAATTCGTGCATGGTCCTGCAAATAAGGCAGAAAAAACTAAAAAAATTAACATGTAACTATGACTTTGTTCTTGTGCATGATTGCACTCAGGAAAAAAACGGTAGCCCATGCTTTTCTTCCATCGTCCGACAATGCGAATGGCCATCTCTGTCAAGAAAGATTGTTAAGATCCAGAAATTTGCGGTTTCTTTCTTCTTTTTGAGGTAACCATGGATATTTCCCATGGTAAATTTATCTCGGGAAAGTCTGGTCACACACACCACGCCAATTTACCGCGGAAAAAGGGTCATTTATAACGGTAAAAGTGTCCCGTGTAACCGCACCTTACGAAGGAAACCCAAGGGAAATCGATTTTGGTTCGAGTAAGCGCGAGGTTCGAGTTTATCCGAGGGTTCGACTTATCGGAAGTCGACTGTATGTAGTAAGTTAACGATGACGTTCACATTTGAGATACCAGCTGGTATACCATAGTAAGGACCGGTGGTTGAACCTTGTTCAGCTTTTACATTTACGCAAGACACTATTTCATTTACGCGCGCAAAATTTACGTACGTACGCACGTAAAAATAACGCGACCTTGCTACGAAAAAAAAAAAAGATTTTTATCAAAATAATTACCATAAAGAGGGTTTCTTTCTTCAGGATTTAAGCACGTATAAAGTTGTTCGCGCCTGGTATTTCAGGTAGTTGGATGTCTACGCCCGCGAGAGACAAGCCAACTACGTGAGACACCAGAGCCGCCAACAGCTTCGTAACTGCCAGATGAAAAAAAAAAGCTTTCCTGCCAATTTTTTTAAATAACACGTGCCTATTTTCACTAACTAGAAAGGGAAATAACAAATGGACCCTACATTTGTTTACAAGTCCTCGGTTATTTTGGGTAAACGAATGCATATTTAGAGAGTTATATACGGACACTCCCTGCAGTGTTCGCTAAAGTGACCATTAATGAAAGAGTTACAGGTGATTTAAACTTTCTTGTCTTCCGATCAGCGGTGTGATTCACGTGATTTTAAAACGGCGAAAACCAACAACGCGTGACTTCTTTGGCAAAAGGAAGGCAGGCAAGGATGTAAAGACCCCCAAAAACATCATCATAACCAGAACAGTTCTTAAAATTTAGAGAGAATTCAATTGCTTGTCTTAGGCTTTCTTTCCCAAGGCATGATAAAGTTGATGACCACCAGTCTAAAGCAGACACATTCTTCACGTTGACAAACCAAAGGTTAAGGTGAGTTCACGTTTTAGCAGCCAGTTAGCTTGATAGACTTAATTGTTTTTTCCTAATAAAAGGCCATCATTGTCGGCTATCTGGGCTTGAGACTGAAGTTCCAATTTCGATTGCCATTCTATCTGGTGGACATATACATCGCCAAAACCTAGTCCTCAGTCAACGATGGAAACAGAGTCTAAAACAGTTTGTATACGCGATAAAATGCAGCTCGGTCGGAACAAAAAGGTACACTGGGCCCTGAACCTAGAGGAAATTTCGTATTTTACTCCACACGCCGAAAGCAAGAATATCCAGTCATTGATGAAGAAACTGAAGATAAAGGCCCGCATTTTAAAGAACAATACACTTAGTACGTTTTGCGACTGCGAACTCGTACATAAACTACAAGAAAGATTTGCTCGCATCGTGGAGAGGTTTCCGCGATTTAACCGCGATAATGAAATACATGAAATACATGCAGAAGATGTCGACTTTAACAAGTACTGGGATGAGCTATTCCAACTTTATGGGCCATGTAAACCTGCTTTTGAAATGGAAATTGATGGGAAAATTTTCAGACTACCGGAAAGCATCCAGGAGTAGACGTGATACTTCTCGTAATTAACATTCGAAAAGAGCGTGTAAATATTTCAACTTTGTAAGAAACAAAAAATAATACTGTATCGTCTTGATGGCACAGGCATAAAAGAAGAATTAACAAAATTAATCGCAAAATGCTTGAGATATTTCCGAATAATAAAGTAGAAACTTTATTTGTACGCTTTTGGTATTTGTTCTATGTACTCAAGACACTAATCCGGGAGGAAATTTTTATCCAAACTTTACCTCTGTTTCTAAAGGAGAATTAAGCGGAGACGTCTATAGCCTTTGTTGGATAAAACCGTTCATCAGAAGGCGAACGTCTCGCACAAAAAGTTAATACTAGGATTTGGCAAATCAAACACACGTAAGCGTATTACTCTAAAATAAAAAAAGGGAAACATTTTACTTTAAGTTTCCTGAAATTTACACCGAAAAAGCGGCTAATTTTAGTTCTCAACAGGTGACGTTGAATATTAATTGCCTACTATGACCACAGTGTAAACTAAGTACAGAAACATGAATTTCACAATACATTTTATGGCAAATATTTACTTAGAAAAAGCGGAAGCTTTTACTTTGAAATTTTTATCCCCGCAGCGAAACGAAAGCGTATTAAAAAATATTTGGCAAAAAAAGGAAAAAAAGAACCAATCCAAAACACTTTCGGTTCCGATACTTTTAAGTTCGAGGGGTTTCACTTAGTAATAATTAATGAGCTCAAATCCATTACTTTTAAATTGGCTTCTCTATACTTCGCTTCAGACTCAGACAGCTATTGTCTACAAAGAACCACACTAGAAAACTTTATTCCCGCGCAAACCGTTTTCAACTTTCTCCTGAACTAGATGAGCACAGTACACAATAAGTGAGCTTCATATATAAATAACAAGGCACCTATTAAGATCAGAGCCATTCTTGTTCCCCAGTAGATAAAATCAGTCGTATCACTTTCCGCAGACAGCCGGAGACTACATGTGACACATTGACGAGTTGAACAAGATAGTAAAATAAGAGCTTCATACTTGATCCAAAACAACGACAACCACAACACGCACAACAGCCAGAAACACCATTGCAAGGTAAGTGAAGTTTAATTCTTTTCAAAGGACCGTAATAAGAAGACAAACAATGTATTCTCTTAAATTTAAAACAGTATACTACTACATGAGAAATTTCTGCAATTTGATTGGCTTAGAGCACTGGTATTTCACCTTAGTTGTGAAAATTACAAAATCTTTGCTGGTAGTAGTAAAAACAAATAATAACATGATTTGTACGTGATATTTGGCATAAATACCACTTGTGATAATTCAAAATGTCTCAAATTTCACTCGCCTAACGGCTTGTGAAATTATGTGTAAATTTTGAAATATCAATTGTGGTATTTATGCCAAATATCACTACAAATCATGCTACTACCTGTAAATATTACAACAAACACCAGAATAAACAAGATAATCCACCATTGTCACTTCGAAACTTTGTCTTTTAAAAAATTTTCCACAGAGTTTTAACCGAGGTGATGATATGTGATGAAATGATCCACTTACATAGTTTAGTAAAAGTAGTATTTTGGGGTTTCCAAAACCCTGACTTTCATACTAAGGCCAAGTGCAAAACAGCTCACATGACAATGAGTTTCATTTCAATCTCGACTAAATGAATTACTTAAGTCTTGGCATTTGCACTCGTTCTAAAAAACAGGATCAAGGCATAGTTAATAGAGGGAATGGTTATGAAACCCGACAAAGTTCTTTTGACCCTGCACAAAACACAATAGTTGTTTACTCCGTACTGAGGAACTAACCAATAGAAACGTGCTGGTTACGTAATTCATGCATAACGTATGAACGCAAAACAAAAGATTGTGCAGGGTCGTGGACCTTCTAACATAAATCTTGGCATCTTTGTTTGCTCCTTTGATGTTTGCCGGGCTTCATAACCAGTCACCTCCATTAACTATGTT